CTTTGACCTAATATATGTGAGCTGCCCCAAGAGGTAATACCTCTCTGAGGCGGGGCTATAACCTGACTGGTTTGCCTTAATCAGCACCCACTGTTTTTAGTTCCTGGAGGAGCTGTGGTAGCCCTCCCCCTGGAAGTAGAATACAATCCTACATAAACCTTTCATTTAAAACAATGGACCCCAAATATACTTGAACTTAATTCAATAAGGTCTCCCAAGGATCTGTAGGAAATTGCCATTGTCACACTGCTTTTTCTTGCTTCTAGGTTACTCTTACTCAGATTATTGACTAGCAATTTTAGCCCCAGTTTTTGAGTTTGTTTAATCTGAGGCAGAGATACTGAAATATTATGCTTTGCAAACCACTGCCGTAATCTTAAACTTCAGGACCAGACTCCAAAGAGAAACTGCTGAGCTCCAGTTCATTTGCAAATTTGACACCATCAGATCAGGATTAAACAAAGACTGTGAATGGCTATCCAACTACAGAAGCAGTTTCTCCTCCCTTGGTGTTCACACCTCAACCTGCTAGCAGAGCACCTCACCCTCCCTGATTGAACTAACCTCGTTATCTCCATACTAGATTTTATACCTGCCTCTGGAGATTTCCATTACTTGCATCTGAAGAAGTGAGGTTCTTACCCACGAAAGCTTATGCTCCCAATACTTCTGTTAGTCTCAAAGGTGCCACAGGACCCTCTGTTGCTTTAATTTTGTTTGTTTTACACCTGCTGCCTATTAGTTTCATTGGGTGACCACTGGATCTTGTGTTATATGAAGGGATAAATAATACTTCCCTCTTTACTTTCTCTACACCAGTTATGATTTTATAGACCTCTATCATATCCCCCCTTAGGCATCTCTTTTCTAAGCTGAACAGTCCCAGTCTTACTAATCTCTCCTCATATGGAAACTCTTCTATCCCTCAAATCATTTTGCTTGCCTTTCTCTGTTATTTTCCCAATTCTAATATTCTACTATTCAATGAGTGGGTGTCGCATGGATTTATCTAGTGGCCTTATAATATTTTCTGTCCTATTATCTATCCTTTTCCTAATGGTTCCTAACATTCTGTTAGC